CATCTCTCTACTCCACCTGCCCCTACCTTCTAGCTAAGCAACGCGATTGTGCCAAAGCCACTTTTCTCCGTCGCATAGCCATGCGCCGAGCCACTGAGCCTTCGCTGTCCTCCACTTCAGCGCATGAGTTCCTTTCACCTCCCGCAACATCCCCCACCCCCCCCCGGGCTCCTATACCACTAAGGTGAAGGGGGCACCTCCCATGTGCCCTTCTTCATCAAACACACCTTCATCATCCTTGGGTAACGAGAGCCGCTCCTTCAATCTACGACTGGCTATGTTGGAGCACAACCAGGGCGAGCAACAGCACGTTTCAGATGAGCTACAACAGAAAATACTCGCACTGACGCAGACACTCACAACTACCGCATCCTCTCTTACCTCTCAACTCATCGAGCTAAATAAGCAACTCGCCACACTCACTGCCCCGACCTCCAGCTCCCATGTAACCAAATTGGCCGACATGGTCAAAACCACCAACACTGCGCATCATACTCATTTGGTCCAGCTGGAAAATTCAATTGTCTGGATTCTTACGACCTTCGAAACCCAATCCAAGCAACTGGAATCCTTCACCTATATGCTTAACTCCCTGCAAGAGTTGCTTCCCCTGGCAAAAAAGAAGGAATGTGCACGCGCTTGCTCAACTTCAAAGACCTAATGGGGCGTTAAAAGGACCTCGAGATTTTGCTGTGGAACTGCCGCAACTTTCGTCATAATAGGACCCTATCCACCAATATCTTCTTACCCGCCCACATTACCCCCTTTTCTCCTTATACAGGAGACTCGGACGGCCCTTACCGTCCCCGGCTACCGTGCATATCACGCTACGACAGGAACGTTACTTGCGCCCATTTATGTACGCAATGACGTTCTCGTTGAACCACTAGTTGGTGTGGTCTATTACTAACTATCTACCCGTATTTCTCTCGCTCTGATGTCCTTTTACAACCCTCCTGTCACATCCTCTATGTTTAGTGCTCTTGGCCAATTACTGCACTTCCTTCTATTGACCACCCACATCCTCCTTGGGGGTGACTTTAATGCTCCCCATAGGCTCTGGGGTTAGCTCCAAACACTCAAACCAGGTCGCCTTCTACAGTGCCTCGTCCAGGAACGCCACCTCACCCTTCTTAATACCCCTGACACCTCTACTCGAGCGGGCACTGTTTCACAGCGCTCCACTACACCTGATCTCACTTTTTCTCAAAGTTCCTTCCCTTTTCACTTGCAGGTGTCAGCTGAAAACCTTTTCAGTGATCACTTTCTCATACACATCACCATCCCTCTTATCCAAAACAGGCGGAAACAACGAGTCACTCACACTGACTGGGAATCGTTCCGTAATAATCTTTTGTCTGACTCTTTTGAAAGTTACGACGACTGGACGTTGCAAATCTCCGCTGCAATGACATCCTGTAGTCGCCGCGCTCGTTTTCGACTCCCTGTTCCTGACCCTGATCCTCACTTCCTCCATTTATGGCGACGTCATCAATGTTTGAAACGCTTCCTCCGCTCCCAGCCACATAACGTCCAACTTTCCTCCCGCATTGATGCTCTGCGGGCTGAAATCATCGCTTACGGCACTTCCCTCGAGCACTCTTATTGGAACACGCTGTGTGACAACCTTGACTCCGCACTGCACTCGCGCTCTAAATGGTCTCTGTTTAGGTCTCTCTTAGGTACCAAGCCTGCCGTTGCTCCCACCCTAGCTAAAGCTCTCACTCAAGGGACTTCATGTGATGCTTTTGACAATTTAAATATATGTATCTCCCACCCCCCCTCACACCTTTCTACCCAGATTACTGTGGCAAAGCTAACCTATACCTGGACCGCCCATTCATGCTCAGGGAGTTGGAAGCTGCCTTAGCCACTCAATCTACCCGCTCAGCTCCCGGTGAGAATGAGATAACGTATACTACACTACGTAATCTTCCCGACAACGCGAAGGAATTTCTCTTACACACATTCAACGAAGCATGAAACAGCGGCTGCCTTCCAAGCTCTCGAACATCCTCTCTAATTTGCATGATTCCGAAGCCGGGCAAGCCTCCATCTCTCTCTAACCTTCGCCCTATCTCTTTGACGTCGAGCGTTGACAAGACTCTTGAGTGAATGGCCTTGACTCGACTGTCTGATTTTATTGAGGCGAAAGAGTTTTTCCCTCCTTCTCTTATTCGCTTCCAACGCCGCGTATTTGCGCAGGACATGTTCCTTGTTCTTCAGCACACTTTTCTTTCACCTCCTCGTAGTCACATCCATGCTCTTGTAACCGTCGATGTGCGGAAGGCATTCGATAGCGCGAGTCATGACCACATACTCGCTCAACTCTCCTCCCTGTCATGGGGCTCCCGCATGTATTTTTACATCCGGTTCTTTTTTTCCAATCGAGTTGCTCGCTTTAGAGTCGATACTCATTTGTCTAACCCACACTCCCTCACCCGCGCCACTCCTCAAGGTACCGTACTATCTACTACTCTATTTATTATGGCTATGATCCCCCTTGCCTCCCAACTGTCCCAAATACCTGACCTCCACCATAATTTTTATGCAGACGACATCGCTCTCTGATGTATGTCCCAGCCACGTGCAGGATACTTTGCAACGTGGCCAGGATCTTATCGCTTCCTTTCTCGCTACTGCTGGCCTGTCTCCTGCACCGAAAAAATGTGAGCTACTTTTGTTAAACCGGCTGCGTACCAGCGCTCCCACAACACCCTCATCTCCCTACATCTTTCTAGCTCTCTCATCCCCACTATTCCGCAGTGCAAAGTTCTTGGCTTCCCTTTGCACGCGACAAAGAACGAACGCGCAGGCCCTACATCACGCTGTGAGAACTTGCCACTCGGTGACTCGCCTCCTGCGACGCGTTGTCACTCGGCAGTCGGGGCTCCACGAGGCTCATGCGTGCCAGGTTGCACATGTGCTCGCCCTTAACAAGTTCTTGTAATTTGTGCCCTACGTTCAGTTCACCCAAACGCAATTCAACACACTCGAAAGAGCTCTACCAGGCCTCTACAAGGCAGCTCTAAACCTCCCTGTCACGACCTCTACCACTAAGCTCTTTGCAACAGGCCTCTTCTATTCGTTACGTTCTCTTATTTATCTACACCAAGACTCTCAGATTGCCCGTCTTTCTCTCACTCATCAAGGCCAATGGCTATTAGCCCAAGCGAGTATCCCTCACATTTTCGTTTCCGTTCCCACCTTGCCTTCTGCCACTAGCACCCCTGCTTCTAACCTTCGCATCCTTCCCCTCCCATCCAATATGCCTCGCGTTCTTCACGCCGGCCAGCGTCATGCGGCAGCACAGCATCATTCTCCTCCTCTCTCTACACAGGGAGTTGCCTACACGGATGCCTCATACATGGCTCCTCGGGGCTCGTGTGGCTACGTTATCTACCATCCACACCTTTCAGCACCTGACACGCACACCAGCGGGCCATACTTACACCCGCCAAATGTACTTTCGTTCGAGGTTCTTTCTATGGTCCACGCTATGCAGTCATTTTCCTCTCTCCCTTCTCTCCCCGAGTACACGATTTACTCTGACTCTCACACCGCCATCCGTTGCCCCTGCTCTTCAACAGGAGGTCGAGCGAGCGGTCTCTGCTCTTCAACCCTCCACTGTCTTCGTCCCCTGGGTTCCTGGGAATTCAGGTATTAACAGAAATGAGCTTGCTCATCAGCTTGCCCGTGATATATTGCACCGAGCACCGTTCATTCCCTGGCCAACACCTTTGGAAGACAGTGAGAGCTCTGCGAATAAGGATGGGCAGATCTCTTTGCATCACACTATCAAGGAGATATATCTCCAACTCCGGCTAGACAAGCGTCTTTACCTTCCCCCTCATCCATCACTCACTGCGCTCGAGGCTCGAACTCTGCGGCACATCCAAATGAATTGCCTGATAACCCCCTCTCGCCTTTTCCTTTATAAATATAGGTCTAACCCCTGCTGTCCCGATTGCCCCTCCCCATATGCCGACCTGTCACACTGGCTCTTTTACTGCCCAACTGCTCAGCAATCTAGCTATTACCCTCCCCCATCCCTTTCCATTAGCTCCTGGCTCGACTGGATCGGCGCCGAAGGGGAAGAAGAACAGCGTCGACTGGTTGCACAGGCGGTCGAAACGCTTGGCCTGTAAATTGTGGCTGAATAAAAGCCTATTAGTACTACTACTACTGCTAGCACTACAGTTTCTTTATTTATTTATTCGGAAACTCATTTGTTTCAACACCTTTGCGACACCGCCACTTTTTTGATTGAAGTAACATAAACTCACGACCGAAAACTTGGACACCACTCAGTGCTCTATTCGATTTTTTAGGACTATGCTGGCTTATCGAGCGTGACATCGAGTGCCATGACCACCTGTCCGCGATGCTTACAAAATTTTGCTAAGTTGCAACAGCTGCAAGGCTGCATTGCTGCACTGGCTATGGCTGGAGATCGTGCTAGTGCAAAAATCAAGGCGTGATTACTATAGCCAATCTAGATGGCCATGTTCTTTAACTTCATGTTATGGCCACCTAATGGCCAACAGATACTCAGCTTTAGCTAGTCGAGTATCTGTTGAATAGTTACCACTGTCAGACCTGAAGGCACCTCAAGCTCGCAGCCAACTCGGGGTCGCATTTGAGAATGACCGCACATACAAAACGAACAAGATCTTAAAGATTTGCGTAATGCATTTGTGACTGTCATAATATCTATAACCTTGTCATGAATGCTACACATAAAGAAAAACAGAAACCCTGCTTATCTCGAATTTACAGTTTCAAGTCAACAAGGCGCTGCAGTACAGTCAAATAAAGACATACGCATGCACATTCTTTCAATTTACTTCTTTGCCTACAAGTGCTCAAGCGCAGGAAAACCTGAAGGGTCGTCTCAACTATCTTGGTGCAAGTGCACATAACGTCACATGTGCTTCCAGAGACGCGGGAGTTCTATAATGTGACAAAAAAGCTGGCATCAATGCCAACATAAGCCTTACCAGTAGGCTCTTCAACGGGCACATAGGTTCCACACTTGATCTGCTCTACAAGGAAACGGTAGTAGACGTTGAGTGGGTGGTCGAACGAGAGAAAGGCGAACTGGGGATTGCCGGCCTGCTTGGTCTTCACCAGGATCTCCATCTGGGCTCCGTGCTGAGACACAAACAGGGCCGTCTTCTCAATGATGGCGTGCAACTTCATAGTTGGGGGCTGCGAGGAAAACAAATCAAGCAGCCCGGTGATTGCAAGGTCTCACCGCAAATCACTACATGAATCTTTAGAACTGTCAAGGAAAAGATGACACAGCTAAAAAAGGGTTGCTGCTCCTATGCTTCCCATGTGTAATGACTCGTTTTTGAAGCTGCTTCATAAGAGAAAATACACAGTAGACTGCTTGTAATTAGGTGTGCGAATATTCAAATGCTTTGAATATTTGCATGAATGATACAGCGTTTGAATTCACTTCTATTCAAATTCATATCACTGAAAATTTTGCGGTATTTGAAATGAACAAAAAGATGTACATCAGTTCGCTTGTAAAACCTGTAAGTGGTTTGACTGCAGAAAAAAGATGCTACGCCATAAAAACACATCCCCGAGAGAAATTCGCACTGCCTCGAAGCCCCACTTCCAAGTTAATTGAACATAATACCCTCACAGCGATTCATAAATTTCTGAGTTTGCAACAGCTTTTTATAATGGCTTATATGCTTCAAGTATTAAAAATTTTGAAACCTAACATAATTTACAGGTTATAACTTGTATTCTACCGAAACTCACATGCTGCTACTTTTCAAAGTTATTTCACACTTCCATAGAATGAAAAAAAAAAAGGCATTTATACAGGCCTTGTTTCAATTAAAAAAACTGTGAACCATCTCCCAAAGGAGAACCATGATATGATGCGAAGCAGCAGCGGTGCACACGGCGTTGACCCGGGTGTGGACGCAGGTGCTGGAAGAACGGTTTGAAGCGAAACTCGGTGAAACGTTTACTCGAGTAAACATTTGTTTGAAATGCAAGGACATGGGAGGCGAAACGCGTTGAAGACGCTTGCACTCAGCTTCCTTGGCTCGCCTCTTGTCGGTGTTACCTGCGCGCCGTCTGTATTCTCGAAGACGATCGGTGTTCTTGATTTGCACCTATACTCTGTTTCGCCACTTTGGTTCAGCGCTACCAAAGCTACGGGGTGTAAGAAAGCCACACGCTTGCGCAGGGAAATGTAGTCCCACATACGAATGCCTTAAAATTGACATGGTTGGCTAGAGCTGGCGTTTCTTTGATGTGTTTTACACCACATTGATGCATGATATGTTTATTTTTTTCCCATTTATTTCGTATGCACTTGATTATCTGTGTCGGTTACCACCGCTATCTGTGTTCACAAATCCACATGGCAGCACCCATGCAGAAGTGACCACCCACTTCGATCCGGACTTGCTTTTGCTACGCGCCCACTGCGCTGACAGCAGTAAAAAATGGTAAAATAAAGCCGTCGATTCGTTTCATCTCACTCTCAGAATAAAGCATCAAATACGTTTTGTCGATATTAGCAAGATATTCTGCTTGCTTAGCCGCACCTGCTAATCTTAACGCGCCGAGGCAGTGTTCAGACAGGGTCGTCAGACCAAGAACGCAGCATCTTCAAATACCGGACATGTAATTTCGCACAGCATTCTATGCACGTCTTATCCTCCTTCGGTGGAAACAAAAAAAAAGACAGAAAAGGAGCATTGCAACGGGAGACACGAAGAAACACATCGAAGGGAAAACAGACAAACGAGAGCCGCAAACAGCATCAGAGAGAAACAGAAAAGAGGAGAGAATGCGATTGTAGCGTGCGATAAAATTCTGCAACGCCGCTCGTACTAGCCGGGTTCTAAAAATTTTTGTGGCAGTGAATCAATTATCTTTTTTAGTGAATCTATTTCATGGCTACATGAAAAAAAAAAGAAAAAACAACAGGGCCCCTTTAAACATGCAATGCCATGCGGCAGCGATGGTGCTACTCGCGGTGGTCTACTACTGCAACAAACCTCTTAGGCAGGGTCGGTAAATACTACAGTCAAACCTCAATATAATAATTCTAGATAGTATAAGGAAAGATCGGTTATAACACAGTAAATGAAGGACAGGCTTGCAATAGACATAGTGTTAAAAATATACCTTTATAACAAACTTTTGGACATAACGAGCTTATTTCCATATAAGATGCAACTTCGTTACAATGAGGTTTGAATGTACCTTGGAATGCCATTCACTTTCTACTTCAATTCTAGTTTATGTAATTTTTTGTAGCACGCGCAGGATTTCACAAATATCATTGATGCATGGTAGTGGAGCTGTAACATAACCTTTCACAGCTGGCGAATATTTAGGCGGCAAACACTTAGCACTTTACATGATTTGGGAACGTATTTTGGCCTCATACCCATTTCAGTGCTGCTTATCACTTCATCTGGTTAATGTGGCAAGGGTCATACTTCCACACATCCTATGTGCTTCTATGCCAGCAAACTGGTTGACCCCCCTCCTCCAAGTTCCACCTTGAATTGCATGGCGTGCCACCTAGAGTTGGTGGTCGTCGCGAATTATGTTAGCTTAGGTGGTTCTGTAGCACTGCTTGCCCAATTAGCAAAATCCAAGTGAGCCTATGCTAGTTGCGCTAATGCAAAAAAAAAAAAAGAAAATGGCTACTCACTGTAGGTACTGATACTGGAATGTGAAGTCCCTTGGGTGCTTTGAATGGTACTTCAGCCTCATCCTCTGCAATCAAAATAAGCCACATATACACACATGCTTATTGACAAATGTACCAAGCTAACATAAAAATTGCGTCAGATCTCTTATATGAAAGGAAAGTCTCGTGCTGAGTTCTAATGATGGAGCCGAAGCAAGTTTTTCTGCTCGTTTTCAAGAAAGTTCATTTCAATAATTAGGCTTGTGCAAATATTCAAACAAACAATGCAGTATTCAAATTCCTTTTGAATCGAAACTAAATTATTGAAAATTTCGAATAATTCGGAATGGATAAGTAGGTGCATAATATTTTGCATGCAAAACACTAAGAAGGTGGTTTCTCTGCACTGGACCCGTGCTAGGCCGTGAAAGCACCTATATTGAGGCCTGATCACACGCACTCGTTGCAGTGAGTGGCTTTTTGGTGGCTTATTGATGCGATTCCACGCTCTGACGCACTGCAACGAATAAGTGTGGTCAGGCAATTCGCATGCAACCTCTCTATAAAGGTGGCTTAACTGCAGTGTGGCTGCACTGCTCTGTAAGTCATGAATCAATGAAAAATCATCAATTTGCAATCAGAATTTTATGATAATCCTACCAGGCAAGCATGTCTTTTTTATGTGGTAGCAGTTAGGCAAACTCCGTTCAAGTGTAAGTACCTAGGAAAGTTATTGGTTGTGACAAAACACTTTTTTATTTTGTTTTTTTTTTTTGTGAACAGCTCAGTGCAAATAGAAAAAAAAATAATGGCCAAAAATTCATTGTAGCAGTGTTCATTATTGTGGGATTCAACTGTTATAAACAGAGTTCAACTGCAATTATGAAAAAGAACAAGAGTAGTGCAAGACATGTAATCGAGCAAGAAGATAACAGATAATTTATTTCAGTGCTAAAATTGGCATCTAGTACACAGACATAAGATAAAACTAGCAGAGAATTGAATGAATCACCACATATTCTACACAAGAGAGGCTTATCGCCGTAATATATTAACACATGACTACATTAGTTTTCACTAAAGAAAACACAAAAAACTTGCTACAAACAGACAAAGTTAGTTCTCAAGCTAAAAAGTTTGCTAACTGTACTCACGAGCGTCTTGAGATTCCAGGCCGGAGTTTTCAGAGTCGTAAGAGAAGGCGGTTTCCTTGTAGGTGCCGTCCGCATTCAAGGCCACGTTAAGACGCTTGAGCTCTTCCTCTGCAAACGACAGCACATCACCAGTTACAAATGCTAAATTGTTTTGTCAAATACACATAAAATGGCAAAACTATAGCATAACATCGCATCAAGGTGGCCCTTTTTAATGTTACCATTTTCATATATTATGAGCAGCTATTCCAAATTGAAGGCCCAGCATACATCACATGTTCCACAAAACTTGATCCCTCAATTTTATAATCATACGAATGCACACGATAGAACCAACGTGATGTTGATTGTCATTTGCAGCTATATGGGCACTTCTTTAAAATTTAGCTTGATTACAAAAATAGTTTATACAGTCAAACCTCGTTATACCAAATCTCAGATGAAGGATTTTTTGAAATTAATGTCTTTTGCTAAAAAATCACCCTTCAAATGACTATTGGCTTAATGTAGCAATATTTCAGTAACACGAATTTCAGAACATATCAAACTTTACTCCTCTTATATCTCTACAACACTTCAAAATAACGAATAGAAATTTAAAAAACTAACGCGCAGCTGTGAAAACAATGCCCAGCTCCGTATCCTCCACTATCATCAACATCAAAACGCCCGCATATTTTCATACCTGCCCACCCTATTCAAATGTGCGACAACCCTATCGCCATCACCATCATTTGGTATTTGTTATTTGCATCAGGTTTCGCCCCGTTGCCTTTGCTTTAGTCAAGCAGCTTTACCTACTTCAGGAACTACTTCAGGAACTTGTTTGTATAAATTCCCACGAAGAATAGTGTGTTTGCACCATCACCAAACATCTTTGAATACAGGAGAAGTTGACATTAACATTCATTAAATGAGCATGAATAAACATTGAGTAAAATACGGGCGAGTCGTTCAAATGCGTTGAAACGCGGCTCTGTATGGGCAAATGTCGTACAAAAAGTGAAAGGAATTGTTACAAAGATACGAACACAAAAAATAACCAATAATCACAGTTTTTATGACAGATGGCTTTGGTGCTCAATTTAGCGAGATTTTATTTCTTATAGATGAAGGCAGTGGAATGGAAAATGCTTATCTGAATGCTGCAAACACTTACACAGAGATGTTAACAAACAGATGTAACCATTCTCTATTACAACATAAAAATTATTGGTATTATAACTACAACAATGCATCTTCTTTATTCAATATGATAAAGTACAGCCCTAAGCAGTAGCAGCAATATTAACTCACTCTGCGACAATACCTTCCTCTACCTTCCACTGAAGTGCAGTCCTAACCAGAAGCTGAGCTCGCAATAATAGGCAGATGTTAAAGAACAGCTGGCATTCGCTAATGCATTCATAGGAACAACTAACGCTGCTTTTTATGGCCCTCAGCCATTTACAGGAAGGTTTATTTTGAGTATTTAGGAGCCACAAAGGCTAGGTAATTATAAAAGAACAATGCCAACCAGTGTACAATGCTCGGAGACAGCTTTTTTTTTTTGTTTGTTTGCAGCGCTGTGGAAGCAACAGAATAGAGGTGCATGGCTGCTACTGCACCAAAATATAGCACACGAGTTTTCCATGCTGAAATGAATGCTTCCTTATTTATTATAGAACTCCAATAGTTGCGCAAAGTCCTGCGTAAAATGCAGTTATTCTTCATTTTGCATGAGTGCCTTCCTTTTCTTTCGATTTCTTACACACCACCACCTCTTCAGCTCACCAGTTTTCCTAAGTAAACATGGCATCCATGACGCAGTGGGTTGGTGTGTGGCCACTAGCACGCTGTTTACTTCTCCAAGAAAAATATACTCATACTATAACACTAAAATGCACACAGAACTGTGAAAATGTTTCTCCCATTCCCATTTTTTGTCTATAATTTTTGAAACGTGTTAAAGTTGCAAGGTGGAAAAATTGAAACTAGCTGCAAGCTGCTGTACAAATTGTAGCACAACACGTCATAAAGCAGCATTTGTTTCATCAAGGCAAGTGAGAATATTATCAGTAAACTTTAGTGCCATTTCTTGGCGCAGCAGCAGGCATGCGCTTCCGTTCTGTAGCTTCCGCACTGCTGCCTAGAGAAGTTGTCACCCAGTACAGTTTCATTTAAACTTAGTTAGGTGACATCTGATATAGCTCTTCAAGCAAGCCTACTGCTACTGCTGGTGGTAGCGTAAATGAAAGTCCTCACAGAATCAGTCCATTCTCTAAGAACAACATCTAATTTAGATATGCTGCCTTATGCCTGTGTCCACTTCTACTCGCCGTGTTCAGGCATGCAAAGGCTGAAGAACACCTACACGAACAAATACTTCTGTTAAAGGAATAGGCGACTACTGGCCGAAACGTTTGAGCACATGCTGGCAGAACTGGTAAAACCTTCAATCAAAGTGACAGACACAGTTATCCTTTCGGCAATCCCTATAGGATTAACGGTCTGAAACTGCATTTACAAGTCACAAAAGAATGGTACACCGCACAACCTAGCACACGAACTTTGAAACTAGATTGCGGAGTTGTGCACATGGCTGTATATACTCAGATCCTTACATGCGCACAATAACTAGAGCTCAAAATTAAAGTTTGTTTATTATTATCTATTCCAGCTCTACTCTGTCATGCTTACAAAGCGAAATGAGCTAGATGTCAAGAAAAGGCACATTCTTCGCGGTGAACAGTGGGACACGCCAAGCCGTGACGCTTGCCCAAGGAGTGCATGAATGCATGGCATACTGTCTCATTACAACATGAAGGACTCTTATGCTCAATTTGAATGTTTGCAGTATGTGTTGTGCATATATGATTACACAGCTGCCGCATGTCAGAACATCTAGAATAAATATTCAGTTTTCTGCATTACTATTACGACAGTACACACTCTGACCGATAAGGCTTTTGCTGTGCTAAAGAAAACAAGTGTCTTAAAATTTGTTTGTCCCTTCAACCAGAGGTTAAAATTATTTACATTGTGGTTGATCTCATGCTTGTCCAATCAGTGTGGAGGGGTTGTGAGTTGATGATGTAAGTGATTGTGCTAAGCAACGATGGCCATGGAGACATGCCATACAAACGAAATGCAGCTGCACCTTGGTAAATGGACTCCTCGTGGAGGTCCCTGAAGAGTGCCAGGAACCGCTCCTCTTCGCACAACTCTTCCAAGGCTCTCTCTTCTTCCGAAAGTGAGGCGGCGTATCGATGCGCCGCTCCAGGCTTCGGCTCGTATTCTTCGATGCTGTGCAAGTAGCCTCTCGCATCATACCTGACCAGCACACACAAAGCACGCGGATTAGTTTACATACTTCGCAATTCGTTTTGACTAAGAAAGACATTAGGCAAAAACACGTACTGCTCTCTGCATAATAGGTAACAGCATCTGGCAGACTTACCAACAAAGGCCCCCATACTGATTTCTGTTACTTTGACGCTACATCGTGGGTTGACTGTGCTGGCTTTTTTGGCGCTTCGGTCTGGCTTCACTGCCCATTTGAGCATTGCGAATTCTGACCCGTTACTTCGAAGTTGCTGCCGTTGATCCCAAAAGCTTCATTAGGTGCAAGGTCACCCTTACCAAATAAAATAAACTGGCCATGGACCTTGATCAACGACCAACGCACATGCAGCACTGAGAGGTTTGAAGGCTAAGTGAAGTGAGACAGGGAGCACATTCTCTACAAATGAGCTATGTAAACGCATCACAACCTACGCAACTCAAGACCAAAATCCTTCTGATGAGCACTGCCTTGCGACGCCACAAAAAGTGCAACATGCCCAAGCTTAGAACTTGAGCGTATCGCTAGTGGTTTGATTTAGATTTGCAGAACCAGATATTATGTAACATTACGAGAACAAAATGCACTTTACCACTGTCGGCTCCACACAGATGCGACATTCCATATCTCAACGCTTCGCTGCTACACTACAGCTTATTGCATCAGTTCTTATCGAATGCCATCAACTAACCTTAAATTTTCCAAGTACGTCAAATATGCGTTGAAATGAGAAGAATAGACGTGGTGAACAGAACAGGAAAACCCACGACGGTTTACTGCGCATCATACCGCTGGTATTAGGTTTCGGATGAACGAACGCAAACACCCAGTTAGAGAAACAATCACAACAAGGCAGCACGTCGTGTATACCTTTCTCTCTCGAGCCCAGACAAAGCCTGGACGGCACCAAACACACACGAGCCACACAATCACAGCCCAAGCGCGCGCCCAGTAGGGCACAGCCCTCGTCTAGTACACAAACTGATTCGAAGCGCCGGAGTGCTCGCTCCCGGCTCCGTAGCTGGCTCCCACATCCTGCGCCGCCGCCGGGACGCTAGAACAACTAGGGCAGATTCGTTAGCAGCGAGTGAAAGAGAAAAGCGATAAAAAAAGGCATGCTGATAAGTCAAAACATCAGTAAAAACCTGCACGATTGAAAATCCAGAAAGTGAGGGCAGACATTGTTTGCTCGGAGACGGACCTGTCAATCATTAGGCTGTTGTCGCCCATCCACGGGATCAAATGCTTGCCGCGGTCAATATGCATCGCCTTTTCGTCGTCCCTGAACAGTTTGCACGAGTAACCGAACACTAAGAGGTCCTCGTCCGACTTTCCACTGCGTTCACCGCCTGCGGCCCACGTACGGCCATTAGCAGGAGCCGCCATTTTGCTAAATAACGTTCCGCGCAATGTTGCTGCTAACATGGAGCAGTTAATCGAAGCAAATGGCTGCCAAATATGACGAGTGTTACAAAAACTTTGTCAATATATTCAACATGACCTCTAGTTTTTGAAAACAAAATTCTTTTGATAATACACTTTTCCGAAAAAAACTCGAAAATGCCTTATGTGTATTGTATTTGATAACAAACGTTGTTACCAAAAATCATTGTTTGTAATTTCGGTTTCGAGAAATATTTTCCGCATTTTTTTAAATGGGTCTCAGAAATATTGTTTGTTAATTGTTTTGGAACGGCGTGAGCAAGATGATACTTTAATCTCCTTGCCGAACTGCACACACTGGCGTATGCGTGCGCAGTTGGCCTACCCCATCAGGGGTAGGCAAAATTTTAACGCCGCAAAGTCGTTGGGTGTGAGCGATTTATCAACGTTTTCTATGAACGAAATTCGAGGTAGGTGCAAATAAACTAATAATAGATAAACGCTGGTTCTATTTAGAATGAAACACATGTCTTCTGTGTGACAAGGAGGAATTCTACGCCATAGCTTAGACATGTTTTCAAAAAATAATAAAAAAACACCCTATAGGAACGTCCACCAACACGAAAAGTATCTGCAAGTAGTGTTGCGTGACAGAAGCGTAGAATCCCGCCAAGCGTCGAGACATGTGGATTGCGAAACAACTTAGTTGTTTAAAGGCTTACCTATTACAAGGCGCTCATGCAGAGTTAAAGATCATTGTCAGCTGCAAAAGCATCATCAAAGTGAGCTGCTGCGTAGATTCGCGTGTAGTAAGGGAACACATTGGGAGCATCGATGATTCACAAAAGGGAGAATTGCGGCATAGTGTGCCAATCGCAACTTTACTTGGAGTAGGCATTTAAGGATAGTCGTGAACGGCCAATGTCACACTGACACCGACGTTGCTTTCCTCGCATCATGGTTGAGATGTACGCGGGGAAGCGAGGCGAGTCCATCGAAGGCAATGCACCGAACGGGGCTTGATTACGCTATCGCGTTCTACACTTGAGGCGAAGCTCAAGGCTCCTCAAATTTTTTTACGTAAATTATGGAAGCGTGCAAAGGAAAGTACCAAGCGAATTTTGTTGAGGTCCATCGACCTAAAAAATCGCGGTAGCTGGCCGCCTTGTTTCGGACTTCTTTACAGTAATTTGTTGCTTTGTGTCTGGTGATCCCGTAATTGAATCGTAAATGATCTAAGGCGTCACGTAAGTAATGCACCGTTAACACCTGAACACCATTAGCACCGTTAACACCTGAACAGAACAAGCATCTAGAAATGCTGAACGCACCGTTTTCATTTAAAATCTTTCGGTAATAATTTTGGTAATACCATACCGCGGGAGACATTCCGCTACCCTAGCAAATACTTGAAACAGCTGATTGCGAAACGCAGTGATGTAAAGCAAGTCGATTGCGCGAAGTAAAGAAATGATATGAAGTGTGGAAACGTGCAAGCATGAGAGAGCCATTTACTGCGTTCACACGCACACACACACACACACGTATATATATATATATATATATATATATATATATATATATATATATGCGAAGAGCGCTAAGGCGAACCAGCGTGATCATACGACGAAGCGCCTGATTGCTGGAAAAAGAGGAACAAGAAAAAAAGCTCGTTATTCGTACCAACAAAAATAAAGAAAAAGTTGGAGGGGGTGGGGCTCGTGCAGGCGAGACCGTTTCGTACGTGGTCAGAATGGCCCGGACGGCCACCGAACCCGCTTCGTACCCCACCGTATGCTCTTCTGGTTATCTTTGATATCTGCAGCTTATTCTCTTCTACAGCACATATACATTCATTGATGCATTGGCAACTCAATAAGGTACCTTCACTCACTACGTATGCGCGCAGAATGCGTTTATCAAATATGGCCCGTAAGTGCGGATGATTGCTGTGACAAAACAGCTGAAAGACAATATACAAGATTCCCGTTCCAGAGCTACGAAACGTGTCATCTGTGTTGTGAGTCGCTACCATATAGTGTTGAAGTGACACAATAATAAATGTTGCCCATATTACCGCAATGGTGGCTACCCAGACAACACTCGGTGTCCTGAGGTCGTCCTCATATGGTACAATCGTCCTCGCACAGTTCTCATTGACCTTAGTACTTACTGAGGACGACACAAGCTGGTTTGACCCAGAAACGTCTTTTCGAGTGCTTTCTGAGGACAACAGTTTATCCTGAAAAAGTAATTTTAAGGACGTTTTGAAGAGGACAAAAGCAACGCACTAGCGCCGGTTCAAACGTTTTTTCGAGTGCTTTCTGAGGACAACAATTGGTCTGGAAAAGGTCGTGTCAAAGACCTTTTAGGGATGACAGAACATTGCACTGAGCACTTAGATATACTTCCTGAAGACCTTTGCTCACCAAATAGATACATTTCATATGTGAAAACTTTCTTCACACGTTTGTTTCATACCGTCATAAAGGTATTGTATATTTTCGCCTTGTTTGTTTCTTTTTTGGCAGAAAAATTTCAAATTACGCGTTTCGCTTAATGAGACACGCGTAAATAATTGGCTTAGGTATCGAACTTGGTATTGCGAAATTTCCATTTGAAACAGTGTGTTCCCAAATGCCACCGCCTTAATTTAGTCATTATACGCCACTGTAGTGCGTAATAACAAACTAGCAGCTGGCAACCATTGACTATGCTACACCAGTTTAGATAGTCAAGTAGCCAAGCCATTCTAAGCCAACTGACTGTCAAAATGGCAGCGGCGATGGCCCTGTCAGGGAAGGTGAAGTGTACTAGTGGAGGTTCGTGGCCTTTGTTGTTTGTGTGCATGGTTAAAAGTGAGATATGCATGAGTCGTAGGTGATGACGCCTGGTAAATTGCCGTGTTGATGGGTGCACTGGGCTGCACAACGTTCAGACTGATCATGGATGCATTGTCACCAGCCGACCGCGGCGAGGTGTGGTTTGAAGCAGCCTGGAACACCAGATATCAATTGTGCTTCGAAGCAGCATGGTCCGAACGTGGAAGGATCTACTTCTGCATCTGACACATGGCCTCACCTCGGGCAAGTCAAGTCAACGCTGGTGTCGAGTGTACTGATAAGCTGTCAGAGCGGAGCCTCAAACACTAATGAGTGCATTGGGCGCGATACATGCTGTGATGAAGACACTGAGTCAAACTTTCGAGGAAGATTACAAACGTAGTTGACTGACCTGTGTTGGCTGCCTTGATACTGCTTTTTTTTTTTCAGACTATACGCGGACTCGAATGCCTGACAAAGCTGTCAGTTGTGATTAATTACTGTTAAATAAATTTCAGTCAACAAGCTTTGTTTGTTTTGTCACCTATCTGTTGATTGATACAGTATATATACACGAGACCTTGCAGGCATTTTTTTTATGTATGAAAATATTATGAAAAGAACTAAGTCCTAAGTAGTGTCACTGCCCACAGCACCGAACCGGCCACGCAATCGTTGTTCTGACAAGATACTGAAAAAGTACTGAAGTGTTGTATTGAGGATGTGCTGAGGTTGTTATGTGTATGGACAAGGGGACGGGATTAGTGTCATTCTAGCCCCATAAGAGGACATTCTGAGGGCGTCATATTGTCCTCACAAAAGCATACTGAGGACGTCCTGAGGTTGTGTTTGTGTTGTCTGGGTAATAGCGACTGAAAAGTCGGCCACGTAGCAGATGGCCGCTGGTTTGACTACAGTGTTGTAGTTTGACGCTGCTTTCACTGCGAAAAGAGCCCACGGATGGATGGATGGATGGATATGGCTGTACCCTTTAGATCGGGCGGTGGCTAGCGCCATAAAGCCGTAATACTTAATGAACCAAAAACTAGATTTATTTTTTTCCCTTTAAATATTGACGTTGAGGATTCGTACTTTGCCGTGAAGGGTTTAGTTCTAACTTGTGCCTTGACTTTAGCCACCAATCAGATAACCTCCTTATAGTTATTTCTACCCACTTGAAGTCTATTTCGCCCTCCCTGTCTCTAAACCCCAGTGCTTTGAAAAACTCTGCGCCATCATCCTGAACTATAGGGTGAAGTCCTTTACAGAACATTATCAAGTGTTCGGCAGTTTCTTCCTCCTCTACACACGCACTGCATACCGTGTCTACCCCTTCGTATTTGGCCCGATATGTCTTGGTTCGCAATGCTCCCGTCCTGGCCTCAAATAGTAGAGAACTACCCCGAGTATTATCATAGATCCTTCCCTTGGTAATTTCCTGCTTAAAAGTTTGATAGATCTCTAGTGCGGACTTCTTAATCATGCCAATTCTCCACATATCGGTCTCAGCTTCCTTCACCTTCTTCTTAACCGATAATTCTTTTTGGTTTGGCCCCCTGCTGTTTTCTAGGTATTTAGCAGTCAGTTTTCCGGTTCGCTTTGTCCATTTTGTATCGACATTCTTCATGTACAAGTAGCTGAATACCTTCATAGCCTAACGCTCCTTTCCCATTTCTCTCAATCGCTTCTCAAATACTATCTTGCTACTAGCTTCCCTGCCCTCAAATGATGTCCATCCCATATCACCTTGTACTCCCTGATTTGGTGTATTCCCGTGAGCTCCTAATGCAAGTCTACCTATTCCACGTTGCTTAATTTCTAATCTTGCTTGAACTTCTGATCTCATGCACAAGACCGCATTGCCGAACGTCAGACCAGGAACCATGACCCCTTTCCATATTCCTTTCACAACATCATACCTATTGTAATTCCACAGTGCCCTCTTTTTAATTACCGCTGCATTCCTGTTACCACTAGTCGTCACGTATATTTCGTGTTCCCGTAGGTACTCAGCCCCATTGCTTATCCATACGCCATATTTATCTGTTATCTCTAGCGTGACCCCCTGTATTCTAAGCTCACTACCTTGATTGTCATTAAAAATCATGACTGCTGATTTTTACTTACTGAATCTGAAATCTAACCTATCTCCCTCATTACCGCAGATGTTCACCAATCTCT